TTTTCCGCCTTATATGAAAATTGTCAAGGGTATGTCACTTGAGAAAAGACGACAATTACGTTATATAAATCGGCTGAAAACGCCAAGAATTAAACTATTTCCAATAAGGGCATGCATTCTTTCTTGATTGAGAATGACTTTGGATTAAGTGAAGTAAATGTATGGTAAGTGTTTCATATTTATATGTAACCAACCATTAGTTACGCTACATAACAATATGTAATCACATTAATTAAAAAGGATTTCAAAAGGCAGTGTAATAACTGCTTTAAAGATTGTGAATATTTTTACACATGATTTATTTATATACCTTATTCTTATCATTGTTAGATTGGTAACTAAATTTTTTTTTATATGATGCGGGAGTTCTGTAATCACACAGCTCTAGAAAATTTGGCGCCAAATTTGAATCTTATGTAAGCAAATTTTTTGGTAAATTTTTTTAATTTGGTTAAAATTTATTATTTAATTATACCGAAAAAATATAATAAACCCAATAATGATTTAAAATAGTAATGGTTACAACTGAATTAAATTACGCCTACGTGAGCTATGTCATAATAATGAGCAAGTTTCCAATCCTATTAAGCCTTTCTCTGATATATGCATCCATAAACCTACATGCATTTTGCAAATTTATTGAGACAAATTATTCAGCGTTTGGGATAGTACCTTCACGAGCAAGCAGTAAGGTGAACTAGCTGTTTTAGGAAGTATATTTTGTCAGTTCAAAAATATTAATAAATTTTGTTATACGTAGTGCCAGTAAAAATTAAAGATCTGCACTAATGATTCATAATTTTAGCCGAAAATTAGGCGTCAAATTTGGGTAAATTGCATAAACTTTAAATGGCCAGTAAAATTTTTGGAAAAAGGGCTCTATTAGTTTGTTGCTTTTGCCTTTGAACTTTCATTAAATAGAAGGATCTTTAAATTTGAACCATTAGTTCGTGATTTCTATACTTTTTAGAAAGGTGATAAAAAGTTGTGATCATAGAGCTCCTCGCACCATATATATATTTTTTAGGATAGTTGTCTTGCGCCTATTAATTGTATGAAACCTAATTCCTTGAGAATGCATCAAATGCTCTATTAAACTTGGAGATTTAATTAATGCTTTTCCAATCCCTCAAGTTCATTGTGTTCTAACGATTGAATTTCATTTCTGGTTCATTTTCTATTGGAAGATATTCTTTACGAGTAAGCTTATTAATGACAGATTCATTAATCCCAATCGTTTTTATGTATTTAAACAATCCAGGCACTTATAATTATGATGCTGTCAAGCAAATGTTATGATAAATGTGGCCAACAACAGATAAAGGATATCACGTTTTTTGAAGCTATGTAATTCCACATTCAATTTACTAAAATACTTGTTTTAGAGATCAGATAACTAAAAAGAAATAACACACAGACAGTTCCTTGTGAAATAACGGAAAACTTGCGAATGTTTTTTGTTGACGAATCAATAATCATTATCAAACATTGTGTCATTTTAAAATTATGAACTCGACATATAAATATAACAAGATGATTAATAACTATGAGTGGTTTACCATGAATTAATTTGTTTTTGAAAATGCATATTAAATTTCTTTATTAATTAATAAATGTAAAATCCATGTAAAGAAAAAATACACACTATAGTCAGAACTCGTTAAACCGATGTACTTGTTTTGGACTCAAAGCATCGCTTTATTAAGCAGTCTTCGATAAAAATGAATTTTTTTAAAAAAATTCGGTTTAAAAAGTTACACATATATTCGTCTATATCACGTTGACAATTCTATATAATAAAACGCTTGCTTCTAACAATTTTAAAATAAGTATCAAGGCCTTTATTCGTTGGAGTAGATTTCGATTGTTCTAGAACACATATTTCTCTTTTTTCTTTTAACGTCAGTGTATTTTTCATTTTAACAGAAAACAATACGCAAATCATTTATAAAGTTATACAAAAAAAAGCGAAGTTTCTTTCGATAAACCGATATTATTCGTCCTATCAAGTTATAATTTATTATATATATGTGGAACCATATGCAATAATCGTCTTAAACATTAAAGTGAATATTCGTCTTATTGAGTTGATTTTTATTATAAATGAATAGGTAAACTAGAAAAACTCCGTCATAACAAAAATTCATTTTATCGAGTCCCGACTGTATCTCACTTTTTAATCTCCTTTTTATTGGAATTTGAAATTCTGATTTATTCCATTATCCATAATTTTTTATGAATAACTTTTCCTGAGTCAACTCTTTTTTTAAATAAATTTAGCCTTTTGTATATATGGAAGGGCTACATAAAAGTCAAAATCTCCACATAGTCTTTCTTCCAAAATCGTTACTTCTTCTTCATACATTTTATTATACCTTCCACATATATATATACTTTGTCTTCTAAAAAATCCTGCTTGGGCCTACATTAATAATATTGACACAGATAATATAACCTAGGTTTAATATTTACTTGTGACGCTTGCATCAGGTCGTATAAAGGCAGAAGCGCAGATTCTTCTGGATCCAATGGTGGTTGTGATTCTTATAAGAAACGCTTTCTTATAAAAGAAGAAAATAATAAAGTGTCTTATAAAAGAGGAAATAATTAATGTCTTCCGACAAAGAAAAGAAAGAGTTACATCTTGCCATTATTACTATTACCATTACTATTACCATTACTATTACCATTACTATTACCATTACTATTACCATTACTATTACCATTACCATTACTATTAATATTACTATTATTATTACTATTAATATTATATTAATTTAATTATGATTTTAATTTTTTTTCTTTGGTTTTTCTTTTCTTTTATGTTTCAAATTAATATAGTGTGTAATGACAATTTACATTAACCCAAAGTGAAAATGATGCGAAAACGAATTGATTTTTTTTTTTGTATTGGTTATTTTTTCAACCATCAAGGAGATTTCACAATTCGATTTGTATATATCCTTATAAAAAAAATTTATTCAGAAATTATAAACCTTTAGACTTTGGAAAATTATATATGTACGGAAAATGTTATTATTGTTATAAATCTGAATTTTGTTGTTACAAATCTTGCTATTGCTATTGATTGATCACACGATTGGCACCATGCTATGCTGGCATTATATCTATTACAAGTTGGGCATTCTTCATATGTTTCTCTTTTTCCCTTTGAAACCTTTTTTTTCAGCCATAAATGTATATCACATGTAAAGTTGGTGTCTGTAACTGTTTTCACATTTTCTGCAACTGCAGATTTTAAAGTTTGCAAGTTTTCCTAAAACCTCTGCAACCCTTGAAACTGCCTGCCACCCTCAACTTCTGTAACCATATGGGGCATGGACAATAGAAAGGGGGTAAATAGTTATGGGCGTAAAAATTATCTTAAGTACTTAATAACTCTATTGGTGACTTATTAAGTGTTAAAAACACAAACATGCAGATCTCTTATTGGTAGCAAAAATTATTTGAATCTGTTTAATCAAATATTAATTTGACAAACAAGTTAATTAATTTAGTACTGTGCATGCTAACCAAATTTGATAATTATTTTTCCAAATCTGCTGATTTGGTTAGCACAGTACATTCCACATGCTAAATTCTATACACTGGGATTGATTGACAAAATGGATATTTTGGATTAATAACTCTCACTCAGAGTGCAACAGTTAATAAGTGGCTATTAACTATTAATAACTTGGAGTTATTAAGTGTAGGGTTAAAAATTCCCATCACTAGGGGTAAATATCAAAGATCACGATTTTGAGTTGATGCCACATATATATGTAACTCGTTGCAAGGAACAATACCCACATTACTTAATAAGATTTTGAGATATCTAAAGAAAACTGCAATACATAAGAACCTAAAAATCGGTAAATGTAATACAGTCAGGGATATTTCCATAAATGGAAATACTAAATACCGTAATGATCGATTGTATGAAAAATTCTAGAAGAAATTCTATTGGCTAAATTCAACCAGGATAATACCTTGTAATGATCGACCTCATGAAAAGAAATTCTAATTGGCTAAATTCTGTGCAGGCCTTTTCGTTGAATAAAAAATAATAATCTTTAGAGGAAAAGAAAAACAAGAAAAACATGGCGGGAGCTTTATTAATTGGTCATATAATTTCCAAAATTGTATAATATGTGCATTTTTAACTTTTCTACAAGCTTACCCAAGATCAAGCAATGTCAGAGATGCTATTTAACTAATATATAACAGATTATTATATTAATAATGATTTTTATTTGTTATTAAATAATTTATTAAGCTGCCATTCATCAGAACAAAATACTTCATTTAATCTTTAAAAATAGAATTTAAAATAAATTTCCTTGCCAATTCTGTTAAATAATAAATAAAGGATACATACAAAATCCATATAGTAAAAAAATAAATAATGATTATAATAGTTCTAGAATCAATAGCCACCATTGTAAATAATTTATTTGGAGTTTTATGCTTACATTCCATACCGAACTACTTTAGTGCTCCATGCAAGGCAGTTACAACTAGGTGTTACAATCATTTTTATATGATGTAAAGGTGGTTACAACCGTCATCAAAGTTGCAGTTGGTATCTTTAAAAAAATATAATAAAGCCTAGATAAAAATATATTGTTATTAACAAATTAAATTACATGAATAAATATAGTAGTGGTGATTCTGAATATACTTAATAATAAGATTTGCACCAACATGGCGTCAGCTGGCTTTCTGGATATTTTTTTGCAATATCTCATACAAACAATACAAACATAATGGTCTAAAAACCAATAAAAATTAAATTTCTAGTCATAAATTTCTAATTTTTAGTAAAAACATACTTTGAACAAATCAACATATTATTAGAGATTATGAAAGAGCAAGTTTAATAATGAATTGATCAGCAGGCTATTCTGGAATTGAATCCCAATATGGAAATATAATGTTTTCAATTATATCCTTGATGTGATTTTTGAAAGAAAGAAACTAATTTCATACAATTTTTGATGGGCCCAGGAAAAAGACAAACTTCTTGTGTGGATAAAAATGAACATGAAAGAGACTCTAAATCTTCTTTGGAACTTATTGCTAAATGAATTAATAATGTTGCTTTATCAAATGATAATAATGAAAAAAATGAACTATTAAATCTTTTAACTAAGGTCATTAAAGATTTTAAACCAGAATCTTCAACAGTATCTACAGAGACAGATTCAACATCAATATCAACAGAATTTTCTGATAATCAAACAACTCCAAGTTTTTTTCTTTTGAATGTAAAAAAACTTAATTTAAATGAATATCAAGTAAATCAGTTGAATCCTGAAACATTCAAAAATTATGGTAGGACCTTAGCAATATCCATCTGGCAATCATGTAATATATATACTCCAGGAAAACAAATCATCATTGGAAAGCCCAGAATCTCTTGAATCAATTCCTGAAAATTTAACAAATTTCTTTAATGGATTGTTCAGCACACTACAGCACAAAAACTTGAAGTAGTAAATAATAAGAGAAGACAACATGATTTACCAATGCTAGAATTAGATGATTCAACTATCAAAAAGATTGTCACCTTTTTAGCATCAATTGTGCTAACATTTGCTTTTCCTCTTAAAAAAATCTGGACAACACAAATAATGTCATCACTATGTCAAAGTCATATCCTTCAAGATCATTTATCTGAATTTAATGAATATTTTGTAGAAAATTTTCAGTTTGATCCATCAAAGAACATCAGGAAAAAATTTTAACCCAGAAGGATTAAGAGATGATGCTATTAATATAGACAATAACAGACATGATTCTGAATTTATAAAACCATTTTTATTAACAAAG